ACATCTGGTGAAAATTTCATGTCATTAACACCTCTAGTAATATATTTACTGAGAAAAATGGTGACGTGTTCAATACTTATTTTACCCGCTGTATCTTCATTTGATTCAGATTTTAGAGACTCGTWAGAACCAATAATAATCCTAAAAAAATAGATGCACATATTTAAGGGATTACAGAAGCATATTATTTAGGATAATTAATATATTTCAACGTTGTTTTGACAAGTTACTGTTTATTAGTCATAAAATTTGGGTTTATTAAGTCATTTAAGTTTCAAGATAATGGAAAAACTTTACATTTTAGAATRACATAACAACCCTCTGTAATCAAATCAAATCAAAGGGGCGTAAACATCCAAACTGCTACCATCTTAAAACAACTCTAAGTGCAAATGATTTCTTTGGACCTTCTAAACTTTTACATTCCCATCGATTTCACTTCACTTTGTGGCTCAAGTTGCACACCTCTCTACCTCTGCTTTTATTTGCACTTGAAAAAAAAACACATTTCTGTATATAACATTGCAATGTAGACAACAGTTTAAAGGTTTACAGAATTTGTATGATTTGTTAGAAACTTTTGAGTTTGGATTTGTTTTTGGCAGCTAGTGGTGAGCTCGCCAATCCAGTGAAAATCAAAATGTATTTTACCCCAAAGTGACGTACAAAACAAACACAAACAGGCAAAATATTAACTTTCCATAAAACCCCAATTTAAAAGTGGACAYCACAATGAGTTAGTGGTTAGCACTTTAGCCTCACAGCAACATGTGACATGTTTTCTGTTGAAGAATGCTCATGGGTTGACTGGGTTATTTTAGTGCTTTTAGAATTAGCTTTTGCTAAATTTTCAGTGTGTTAGTGCTTTAGAATTAGGGGACCTAAATATTTGTCAGTGCTTTAGGGCCAGTCACTAGTGGAACAAATTTTTAAATTAGTGCTGCCCACCACTAAAAACAGGAAGTGACATCAAAGGGGAACTCTTTAAGAAAYGGAACTCCCTGGTCTTTGTTTACTATTATTTGACCTCTAGCTTTTATTCATCTCTCTATGATTACTGACTCAAAATAATCTGAAGAAACAACAGATCTCTAGTCTGTGTTGTAAGCCACTGTAGCAAGGCTCTGTTCACATGCAGACATTCCTCTTTAACATCACTTCCTGTTGCTTTGCATGCAAATATCTCAACAACTGTCCATCTCAGCGATGTAAAAAGTATTTTTTTTTGCATTATTCATATAATCTTTCCAAAAATGCATTTATATGTATTGTAAAAATTTGATGTCCCTTAAGAGACCTGTGAGATTTGCTTAGTTAAATCCTAAATTGAAAATGATTTAGTAAAAATGTGGAACAACTATGATCAAACTGCTTCAACTTTGGTGAGAAAAAGGGAGGCGAGGGAGACACAATTACTGAAAAATACAGTGGTGTTTTATTTGCAAATTAAAAAGCACCGACAATATTAGTTACACTGTAAAAATTATTGACAACAATTACAAATCTTTATCATACAGTCCTGGAGATTAGTACCATCGTTGCTGTTATGTGTAATACTTTATATGGAGAAACTCTGCACTTCTTTTCTTTTTTTTTTTCCTGTACAACAGTTGGCAGTGAGAGGACGTGAGAGGAAAAACACTCTTAAGAGACACGCTTCGTATGATAAAGAGTCCAGACTGCCCTCGGTGCAGCGCTTGATGTGTCACGATACGAGAACAGGCTGATGGGAGCGTAAACCCAAACACATTCAATAATTTAGGTCTACTCAGGGTTTCGCTTTATGTACATTACAAAGTCAGGAAATGACGGACTGTCCTGTGCATTATTAGATCAGAACAATGTACAAAACTATTGCAGTAAGAGCAGCTTTTTTTTTTTGTTGTTTTATTTTTGTTACCAATGCTTGACATCTAGATGCAATGGTAACAAGATGACTGACAAACCAACCACCTGCACGTTTCTCTTACGTTGTTCTGGTAGGTTTCCTTTAACCCCCCACAATTTTAAACTCTTCTAGTAAATTAAAACAAAAACTATAAAACAAAAATGTACAGTTTTGACAAAAAATTAAAATAAAATAAAAATGCTGAAATGCACTTTCTTCTTCTGTACACAGATCTGAATCTGCAGAACCAGAGTGCTGAATAAACATACAGTAGCTAGCTTATGATTCTCTTCACAGACTGTAGTAGGACCCATTTTAGTTAGTGTGCTTCTCCGTTTATCTGGACGTTCAGAATCGACGCTTTGCCCCGAGTGCCTTTGTGCTTTCAGCGTCTCTTCTTACTGTCCCCCCCGGACAAAAACAGTTTGAAAAGGACCGAACTGCACGTCCTGCCTTTGCCTTTTATTTTCTTTTGAGTGTGAAACAAACGCAGTGAACATGTTTCGGTTTGGTACATTCTACAAATATGCATTTCCATCAGCATTACAAAAACAAACAAACAAAAAATAAAAGTTAAACCAGAACGAATAAAAAACAGAAATGTTTAAAAGAAGAACCCTCAGAAGTRCATGTGATGATAGTTAAATGAAGATTCTGTCCTGGCACTTGTAAATGTAATAACTAGAGTTTCTATCAAGGCCTATTRGAGTAAGGCTACAAAGATGCAGCCGGAGTCAAGACGCCACACGTCCCGCTTCACTCTCATACAAACACTMCTCCTCACAAGTAGTTTGTACCAAAGTTTCTCTGTCCATCACGCTGCCTTTTATGAAGTTTATACTACGGTGTGGACGTGATAARGCTTACATCACATTGTCTCATTAAAAACACCTGTCACTTCCTGGATTTCTCATGCCCAGTTGGCATGATGACAGTWTGATGATGAACAGGGCTGATTATCCGACAGCGGAGGTCCCCTGGTGTGCATCACAGTCTCTACAACTGAAAACCTCCGGCGGACACATCATTTGGGGGGGGGGTTCCTGGTTTCGCCCCCGCTTTTATTTATTTATTTATTTTCTTTTTTGGAAGATCAGGGTTCAGTGTTGAGCTCCTAGTTAGGCCTCCCCCCCCCTCTGCCCTCAGATCCTCATTAGACTCCAGTCTGTCAAAACAACCGGAGATCTTCACCATTTCAGGCCACGCGGTCGGTGAGCCCTGCGGGGTGGAGCAGTGGTCTTCCTCCTGCAGCAGGTACTGCTACCTGGTGTGGACCAYCTCCTCTCTGAGCCAGCTGGGTAACGGCTGGCCAATCCTGTAGAGCAGCTTGGACAGCTCGATGTTGTGATCCCTGTAGTACTCCCTGAGGAACTCCTGGGACTGAAAGAGACAACCAGGAGAGATGAGAATGCTCGCAAACACACCAAATGTTTATCAAACCATTAAAGATTACAWGACATCATACCTCAGGGTCCATATCGGGGTACCTGCGTCCTTTACTCTTTCCTAAACACTTGGTCTTTCCTCCCTCCAGCAGCTGACACCAGAAGCCTTTCTTGGGGTCAAACCTGCACGATAGAAACAAGGAATGTAAACGTCAGAAACTCCAAATGAAGAAGCTGCTTTTCTCCTTTATCATGTCTGTTTTTACACTTTTCTTTRTAGAAACTTGAGCACCTGRTAAGTCTGCTTCAACAAGACGTGAGACAACAGGTCAGTGATCAAGRCACTTCAGACGCAAAGTGTTTATAGACACTTGGAAGACACGGGAGATAAATCATAATTTCCTCATGCAGCTTAGACCGTTGTGGTTTTATCTTCTGGTAGTCAGACTTTTTTTTTTAAATTTGGCACCATTTATAAGTGTGTGATCCAAAACCTCCCAGGATATCTGCTGGTTTCAGACCACTCCGTCCAGATCAAACTGTATGCTCTCGTGTCCTTCGCCTCGGCTCAGCCAATCCACACGCAGCAGTCTGCTCACGTCAGAATCATTTACAAMACTCTGTTTCACCTGCCTGGAAGCACTGAGACCTGTTCGGCTGAACCGATGACAACAGCTTTAAGGCACGCCCGTGGAGACGGGGTTATAGACGTATCAGACTAAAAGAGACTTGTGTTGTTGGGTGAGGACGTGGAGGAAAATCTCTTTTTCTTGTTAACTAGGGGAGAAGGAAGAAATGTGCCTAACAGGATCAGACGAGCTGCTCCTCGAAGGTGTCTGACGAGAGATAATTGGAAGTTACGCAATTTTTGTCAGGCAAAAGACATGATGTGAGAGTGGAAGTGTAAACCAGCTTTAAGTGACACGACCAGTTGTTTCCCAGCTGGGCTTTTCTTTTTTTACACCCCATTCACTCTCCCATCATAAAAAGAAAAGAAAAACAAACTGGGGCGTCCCAATGTCTGATTTTGCAGAGTTTATTTGGAAAGAACTATAAAGTAGAAGCTACAGTCACAGGTGAGCCCAGCTTTATTACCAGAGTACAGGAACTAATAATCCCTCCACATCGATCCATGGAGCCACTTACATTAAGAAATATAAAGATCCAGGCTAAATATTTTTGGTAAATAAAGTCTTCTATTAAAAACAGAAAACACACGAGTGTCTCAGTTTATAAACCTGTCAGTTAAAAGTAACGAGTGAGGCTTACGCTAAGATCTTGTGGTAGTTGATGACGTTTGGGAGGCCGAGAAACTTCTGAATTTTATCCATGATGGAGGCGGGCTCGCTTTTCAGCATCTGTCCGTCCAAAACTAACACCTGAGTAAAGACATAAAGCCAAATATCAGAACAGCACAACTACCTACAATAAATGTCAGCATGTTTCTGTTTTGTTATGATTTTTGACCTCTTTTCTGTTTTACTCATTAAATCACATAATGATATTSTGTCAATTAAAGATATTGTTATAGCTACATTGTTTCTTGCAATAAAAAACAATCAAATATTGAATGTTGGAAGCAAAACTACTTTTAGAAGAAAAAACAAAGAAAAGATTTTGTCTATAAATGTTAATAGACTGTCAGTTTATTGCACCTGCTCATTAGAAAGCAAAATCAAAGACCCACAAACTTTACATCCATCGTTAATCCGTAAAAACTGCTGACAGGATTTTCCTGGGAACTGRGAGCGCTGGTGAACGAGAATCAATAAATCCCACTAGAGATTAAAATACCAAGTAGTCGATACCTCCCAACATTCCATTATTGATTATTTCTGCTCCATGAGGCTTAAAACATCCATCTTTCTGTGACCGTCTCTGTTTATAATCATTTGAGAGCAAATTATATCCAGACTTGTTATGGTTTGATTATCTAAGCTGTGAAAGAACCTGTCAAATGTAATAAATGTGGGGAAAAGGAGTCGAGATGATAAATCAAAGAGGGTCCATGAATACTGCCGTATCTGCTGTTTGGGGATTTAAATACAAATGATGGGTATATTTTTGATTTAATCTGAGAAATACGGCTATAGTCTTGCTGGAAAAAAAAAAACCTTGATTAACACATGCCGAATAATTGCTGACTCGTGCAGTTTATAAATTTTACCAAACTGGAGCACTAAAGTGTTTTTTCCCCACTTTGAGCACTCCTAAAGAGCAGATCTCATCCACCAAGGTCAGCTGGAATTAAAATCTTCTTTGTGAAGAATACAAAGAGTGAGATTAAGCCTCTTTTACCCCCCACTCCTGCCGTGAATCTTAATGTATCCTTCAGAGGACACATTTTGATTTATTTATCTCTTAAATCTGAGGAGAATTGTGTTGCWGGATGAAACTTTACTTGTTAAAACTGCATTGTGTTTTTAGGATTATGTGCATGACAAAAAATAAACAAAGTACCTGGCTGGAGTGGTAGAGACTGAGCCAGCGCTCCAAGTGGATAGCGTACCACCCTGGTACCAGACACCGGTTCTGAAGGACCCGTAGTTTGACTGGAGCATCGCGGCCTGCGGCGATGACATCATGGAAGGAGTATTTCAGAGCCACCGGGTCATCATGAGCTCTTTGGTGCTGTGGGAAAACAAAACAACAAAAACGAAAAGACAAATGTAAAAAGTCCTCTTCACTAAGTTSAGTTTAAAGAGCGAGGACCAGCTGATGGGACACACCTGGTACCAGGAGTAGGCTCTGTCCGCCGGGTTTATGAGGATGGTGATGATCTTCGCTTTGGGCAGGAGAGCTGCCGCCCTCTGAGCAGCCACCTCAGAGTCAAAGTAGTTGGCACTCTTCTCAAAGTAGTAGTCTGAGCTGGTGTTGGAGGGCAGAGGGAAGTAGTCCATGTACCTAACACACAACCGACACACAAACAAATGTTTACGCAGCCTTGTGTACGCCTGGTTTACTTTATCACCGCAGATAAGAATCACTTTGTTCCCTGTGCGGGTTAACGCCCAGTTTCACAACAGCTTGGCATCCTGCACAAACAACAAACGTTGTTTTTCTTTCCAGCCTGCCAAGTACACTTTGTGGTAACACCTCTAATGATAGTGGCACGTGAAGCTCTGCTTTAGTGCAATTTAAATTAAAAAATTGCTYCAAAAACCTCCAATCTATGGTTCTTTAAATAAACTGTATTTGCTGATCTTGTTTGTAGAAGTGTGCCCAATTTTAGAATCTGATGTGGACAAAGTTATCATTAAAAAGCACATTTTAAATGTTAAGTACTTCACCAACAACACCCTAAAAAAGGTAGATATAGAACTTTTAAATAAAAGCCATAAAGGAAATATAAACATCAAACTGCAAATCTAGTTCTTACAGCAAAAATAAACAATAATATAAACATTAGTTATTTTAAAAAAAAGTCTAAAGTTCTATACCAGTCGATGCCTCGATGATAGTTGTGTCCATTGAAGAACTGGATCTCCTCAAACGTTTCCTTGCTGGGGTAGTTACTGGTCAGGTCTGGATGCATCCCKAGAAARAAGTAGAGAGCTGTTGTTCCTGAGAGGTAGGACCGAGAAGAAAAAACATGTTCAAACAAATATGGACAAACAAACCAATCAGTGAAACATTAGCAAACTCAGGTAAAAAAATAATTACAAAATTAAACCATGATTATGTATGCCAGGACTTCTGCTTTGACCTCCACGTCTGAACCTTTCTGACTCTGTCCAGCAGAGGGAGTCAAAGAGCTGCTTCTTACCAGTCTTCTGAGGTCCAATCACTAGCAGCTTGGGGAAGCGGTCACACGTTTTCTCTTTGGACCAGATGTCCTTGTGTCTTTTATCCTCACAAGGATCCTGCCAAAGGAAAAAAAAAAAACAGAAATAAATGTCTGTTCTTATTGTGATTTCTTAAGGATTCTAATAAATGTGTAAAAATCAGAGGAAAAGAGAAGGCGAGCAAACTCAAAAGCTTCAACAGTTTGCAAAAAAAACCAAAAAACAAAAAACAAACAGAATCTTTGTCACACAACGTCTACATTTTGTTTGGTGAAAGTGTTTGATAAACAGCATGGTGTGAAAGATTTGAACAACTTGTGGTTCTGAGGCTGGATATCTGACCTGCCAGAGGGGCTCTCTCTCAGAGGGAAACAGGCTGAAGTATTTCTGGGCCAGCTGGATCGGAGGCAAGGTCTGCATCTTCAGGTTGGTCCACGACTTCACGAACATCACCAGGCTTTTGAAGGTGTAGAGGCCGAGGCGGTCGTTCCCGTAGTTGGACAAATGGGTCATGAAAATACTGATCTGGGTGTGGAAAGAAGGGGGGGGGGGGTGTCATTTAAATACGGTCCAACTTAGGAGTGGGTGAGGAAGAAGCGTTTACTGAAAATGGGCACAAGACATCTCAGTCTGGGACCTTCTGGAACTGGACTTCTGAATGGACTGTGGAACCGATGTGTGTATGTATGTATGTGTGTGTGTGTGTGTGTGTGTGTGTGTGTGTGTGTGTGTGTGTGTGTGTGTGGGGAGGGGGGGTAATTGGCTAAAGGGAGCATAAAGACAAGCTGGCCTGTGTGATTAAGCAGAACTTTTTTAATGAAAGAACCTTTAATTCATTATTTAGTCCTGACTGAAACAGTCAATTAGCTGATTCAATTATTTAGACAATTAAAAAAATGTCAGAAATGTAACGACACTACCTTCTCAAACTATTTCATACTTTTCTATCACAGTAAATTTGAAGCCTGGGAAAAGATAATTTTCCTTCCACACATGTTTCAGCACATATCCTGTTCTGCTAATCTTTGGGCCATTACAACAACGTATATCAAAACGTTCAGCTCCCTCTAGCAAGTTATGCTTTTGGAGATATTCAGCCACTTATCTTTTCCTCATTGAAAATAAACAAAGCTGTCTTTAACATCCTTAAAAAACTTTAAAATGTTATTTAAATCTTTCCTGTACTTTTTGTACTGGTTCTGTTTTTTTATCTTCTCTGTACTGACTTTAGCTGCTATTTTGCTGATTTTCACTTTTTTCTGCTTTTTTAGCTGTAATTCTMACCTTTTCTGCTATTTCTTCTGCTGCTGTAAACTTTCCTTTTGTTCCTTTCACTTTCTTTCTGCCCCCTTGTTCAGCAATATTTTTACTCTTCTTACTTTTCAGCTGTTGTCTGCCCCTTGAAACAATTGTTTTCACAGTTTGGAGCAATCATTCAGCTACTTTTGGGTTCCACCTCAACTGGTAAAAGCATTAAAAGGTCAGCTTCTTCAGCTGGTTTCAGCTAAATACACAGTCACACTGCAATTTCTATAGTTATATTTAACTTCAAACCTTTTGTARACAAAATAACGACTTTAATAAGTCAAGAAAATAAATGTGTTGCTCACTGATTTTCTCCCTCAATGAAGGCAGCTGAGTTTTGTTCCCTGATGACCAAGTTTAAGTCTATGAGCTGAAGATGCTCATTTAGGGGTAAAAAATAAAGCTTTGGGGGGAAAAGCTGCAGTGAAAAATCAGCCGAAACAGTCACGACAGTTTTTGTTGTGAGAAATCTTACAGTAATGTGAACACAGTCATCGACAGTCTCTGCAGAGATGACAACTGAGATAACCTTTTATAGAAAAGCAAACAAACATGTTGACATTATATTGTATTTGGGCTCCATTAAAAGCAGCTTTTACGTTAATGCAAAAAGAGAAGGCGAGGCGCAGACGTCSCTGCGTGACACACCGTCGAGTCATTGTCCCCGGCCTTGTTTAAATTTCAATTTGTGCCATTAGCTAAATGGGATTCCAAGTAGGCAAAGACAAAAGCTGTGCTGTGTGGAGGAGTGAGTGACTCACGGGGTTCAGCAGAACCGTGAGGAAGAGCTCCCCTCCGTTGATGAGCTTGTCCAGTTCATTCGGACTGCCTGGGTAGTCTTTYTAGAAGATGGTGTGTGTGAAAAGACCACAAGTCTGCCTGGGCAACACCTGTAGGAGGACACACACTCAGTCAACAAAACTCAAAAAGATKCACACACAAAGACAGCGTGCAGACAAACAGAACATCAGCCCTCCGCTGAGAGCAGAGCGGAGCTGTCAGTCCTGCAGGCGGTTACCCCCACACATTGTTTGTTCACAACATTATTATTATTATTATTATTATTCAGCTCATCCAGCCAAAGCAAACCTCTTCTTTTCTCCGAGTCTATATGGAAATTCATGGAAATGCATGTACAGTGTGGAGTGTCTGGGGAGCTGAATATCAATCATCAGTAAGCAGAGAACGCCGTCCGTTCATCGTCCGCGGGATCTCAAGGACGAGCGGGGGGCTCTGAGACCACGCAGACCGGGCGAGCGAGCGCCAGGACTACAAAGAACACGGACCGAGGCAGCGCCGCTTCTTATCAGTGCTGAAGGTCAACCCGGAGGAGAAACAGATACCATTTAGTGTTTTTTTTCTCCATCTTTTTGAACCACTTGAATRTATTTTAATTTGTTTTGTTCTCATTATTGTGGTATTCAGAAGCAGCGATGGCTGTGAAACTGTAGAAAGTTTTTTTTTTTTTTGCATGTTGACATTTCAGAGATTGGTTATYAGCAGACACCTTCTTCGCTGAGGCCAGAATGTCAGTTTTTGTTTTTTTTTTCCCTGCTGAAGCCTGCTTGGCAGCAGAACGCAGACAGGTGTCTTGTGCAAGACTGGTTCTCTCGACTACATAATCATCTCATAGTCAATGAAATAAACAACAACAACCTCGCAGGGCAGATGAGCGGACTTGCTGTTAGTTTAAACAGGGTTATTAAACAGTTTCCATTCTAAAATTCTAACTTGAGTTTATAAATTCTAAATTGTTTGAACCATTTGTGAGCCATCACATCGAAACGAGGATTAAGTCTAAAAGTGGGATATGGAGAAACAGACAAATATAGTGTTTTGATTAAAATGTTAACAAAAATCGCAATTTGTCAAAATATAACAAATAAATGCCTTATCAATGTATCATTTGAATGAACTGTCTAAAATATAATCATAAAACAACATTTTGAAGCACTTTTTTGAGCAGTAGCAACAAAAAAAACCTGATTTTGAGGAAAAACACCTTAAAATTTGAGATTTTCCCTGTGAGCTAGCAAAGTTTTGTTTCTTTTTAGGTGGAAAATCTCTATTCAAATATAATTTGAGGTTTCCTCTTTACAAGGACATCAAAAATTCCTCATTAAAATGACATAAAATTAGGATTCAGACCAAATATTTACGTATTATTGTAACCAACAAGACAAATTAAGTCATATATATGGATTTACATATGATATCAGAATGAAGCAGGGATCAAAATGTAGCTTTTAAAGCCAAGAATCTGAAAATGTAATTAGATCATTTTGACCAAATTTGACTTAATCCTCATTTTGATATGATGGGTCACATATTTGATGTTCAAGCTCAAGTATTTCCTGTAAAATGTAGCCCAAAGACCATTAATAAACAGACTACACAAAAACAAACAGGAAATGGCATTTTTGTCAAAAAAGAAAGAAAGAAAGAAAATTTAAAAAAGAGATAAACAAAAAGTTGGCATCAGGTGTAAGCCTTTTCACATTGATAATAAATCATGTAAACGCTTCATTATTTACTTCAGTGTTATACCAAAGTGTTGGATCGTATCAATGCTAGCATGATCAGATCAATACTWGAGTTTGTTTCTACTTTCAGCARGCCTCTCCTGTTCCAGAAGTACAATCCTGCACCAGAGTATGTAGGAAGTGTGAAGATCAAATGTAAACACTGGATCAGGGGTGTCCAATCCTGGTCTTCAAGAGCTGCTATCCTGCATGTTTTAGATTTACACAGGCGTCTGATSACGGTCATATTAGAATTATAATGTGAAAAACAAAATACAAGGAAACTTGTTTGATCAATTTAGTTTTTGTAGAGATTCAAATTTTTATCTTTTAGAATTTAGAATAAAAAGTGTCTTTAAACAAATCTTTTCCAAACGTTTTTTTTCCAACCTGCATATCCAAACCTTGGAAATACAATCAAATTGCACACCTGTCCACACTTAAAGTCTCTTTAAAACTTTCAAGAAGTCTGTTGTTTCATGTGAAACCAAAATAAAAAAATTCTAAGCCATCAGTGCGAGTCAAAAGTCACAGGACACTTTTATTTCAAAAAGAAAATGACATATTTAAATACCCCAGCAAGTAATGGGTGAGGGGTCTATCATTTAGGTTATGTCCAGACATTGGCTGCCATTTTGAAAGCCGCCATGTTGAATCAAAATAAAAGGTGTCCAGTAACTTTTGACTGTATAAAGAGGAATGTAGYGTGACCTTTTAAAAACATGACGACTAAAGTCAAACCGGTTAACTGGACAGATAAGGTGTAAAAGCAAAATGTCAGTAAAATAACTTATCATAAAAAGCAAAAGCAACAGGCCAAAGGTACTGAGATAAAGCTTAATAAGGCCTAACGCAATAAAATAATGCCCTTACGCTAATGCCGCTGTGGATGAAGCCTCGCCTGAAGCGGGCGGGCTTTAGGTGTGGGTACTCCTCAGTGCTGGTCACCTTGATGCCCCAAACCTTCTTCCAGGCGTCGTACAGCTGCAGGTGTACGGGGTAGACGCCAGAGTGATGAGGAGCCACAGCGTAGCCCATGTTAGTGGGGATCCCGTGCTCCTGGGGATGAAATTACACAAAAGAGAAGGAGAAAAAAAAGMGTAAGAAAACGGAGTGAGAAGGCATCAAAAATACCACATGATTCATCCCCATCTGTCAGGTCCCTGGATGTTAAAATTAGAAAACCTTATTTTGTCTAAAAGCAGCAGTTGAGCCCGTCATCCCTCAGCTGGATTCACACCACCTGAACAAYCACAAGAGGTTCACGAGGGAATCAGTGAAGCATGTAATCCAGATCTGTTTCATCTAAACYACGGCTGCCTCCAAGTTTATCAGGGCTGCGATGGCGAGCTTTATCTGCCCATCTCTAAAGGCCGTCATTATTCAGTTTGAATCAGTAACATTTTCATCACAGCTAAATATCATAAGAAGCTGGGATGAAAGACTGCCTGTCCTCGTCTGAGAGGACACAAAACAAGAAGATAATGACAGCAGTCATATCTTTACAGCATTTGGAGCAACTGCGCTTTCATTATTTTGAATACTAGCAGCCATTTTTCTCCCTTTGCTTTTATTTAACACGTCCGAACACTTCATGAAGAGGAGTTATTTTTTTCTTAAAGAGGCATCTGAATCACCTGAAATACCTCGTTAGTTGACTAAACTTTCATTTTTCAACTTGATATTATTTTAAAAAACATATTTGCATAATTTCTGCTTTGCGGCTACTATGGCACACTTCACACAGAACAAGTGGCTGTTCTGTGCACCATCATTACTGACCAATCAGCTCGACTTTATAAGGAACAGGCTTTAAAGAGACGGGAGCAAAAATAGGACATTTCAGATAAAAAAAAAAGGTTGAATTTCTTCTTTTTTTTGTAAAATAAACACAAACACTTTTTAGTAAACATCCCAGAAATCAGGAATTTCTACACAAGTACGATATGACTACTTTAATATTATACAAATTTCTTCTTGCAACTGATTTGCTTTAAAAGATATTAAAGAAAAAAGGAAAATAAAACAGTGAAGCTGCTGAAGAAAATCCCATCTGTGTGGAAATACCATTAGTGCCGATGGAACGTATTCATTAAAATGCCTCTACAAATTACAAGTTCTGAAGTATGTTAGGGGACTTTTTATTTTCACGAGGGAGTAATTGAAGGAGGAAAAGCGCCACAGAAAGCTGGAGTCAACAGTCTGCTAATCTCATACTCCTCAGTACGCTAACCTTTATCATGTAGACTTTTTTTGTACTGTTGGGTGAGAAACTGGCTTAAAGCTCAAACTGTGTTTGGTTTCTTGATAAAATATCCATTTACTTTGTTACAATACAAACAGAACCAGTCCTCAGCCAGGGAAACCGAGAAGGGATAGTTCAGGTTGTTTGAAGTGGGGCTTTGTAGAAAAAGTAATGAGCAAATAATATCCTACCTGCAGTAGATAGCTTTTTGAATGAACTCAGTTTGGAGAAACTGAGTTTATTTCAGGTCAGACTGAAAAGCAAAAGTCTGGCTTGAAAAGAAACAAAGTTAAAATTAATTTGAAATGTGTTTAAATAAACTTCTTATGTGAGCACTTTTTCTACTCTGATGTCAGTTTAATGCTTCACAGGACCCCTACTTCAAGAAATTTGAACTATCCTTATGAATTTTTTTCTCATCTGTTAAGATTAGCGTTAATGTTGCTCATGACTTTGTTCAGACGTGCCTGTGAAAGTGATGGAGATCCAAGGTGTGTGTGATTCTGCACAGCAAGTCAAGTGAAATATATCTCACTGAAGTCCTGAAAATGTCACAGATGTCTAACAACAACAACGTGTTATATCCCTACGAGTCACATTGGCCTGCCAAACACGCAGCGATTCTGTGAAACGCACAAGCAGCGGATGGAAGCAGCAGAATATCACATATAAAGCTTTTTATACAGTCGGCGTTATAGTCATTGGGATTTATTAGCACTATTCTGGAACAGTGTGGTCACCTGAGGGAATGTGCACAATCACTGCTGTATCTGCACACAAAGACCTACACGTCTGTATACGTAGGCTTCCGTTTATCTCATAACACACATGTTGACGTCTCATAAAAGGAGGAGGGAGCAGTTGAAACACAACTTTATAGTTAAACAGGAGGCAGAAGCTTCTCTGCAAATCAGGCTGTTCAGTCAGCGCAGTGACAAAAAAACAATTGTTGCTATTCATGTAAGTTTAGACGGCACGGTTGTTTAATGACACAATCTGGTGGGCTTATTTGAACAGCTGATGCTACTCTAAAAACAAGCCAGCACTCTGTGTGTACCTGTCCGTTAATGGGACAACTGGTACCAGGTGGAAAGTTTAAACAAATGTGTTCTTTAATCTAGTAAAACACACGTTGACATAAAAGGGACACAATGAGGATTTGTTTGACATACAAACTGACTGATCGGCCATTATTTAAAATAAATATCACTTGAAATAAACCAAAACGAAAAGACTTGAACTGCCAGACAAAAGAGATCAACCGGACTGGCTCAGATCCTGGTGTGTAGTCAACTCTGGTGTGACCTGTGTCCTCCACCGCGACTCACCGTGGCGAATTTCTTGTTGAGCAACATCTGCTCGGCCAGCACCGACTGGTTGTGGAACAAGTGGGGCTGCATGTGGCTCCACATGTGAGGGAACCACCAGAAATCTTTCACGTGGGAAAGCAGCAGGTCGTCTCCCAGGTCCTCTTCGTCAGATCCTGAAACAAACAAGGTGGGTGTGACAGATTTAAAAAAAAAAGAAAGAAAGATGACGGGGGGAAAGAAAGGGAGGAGACGGGGGATTTAGGAGGAAATTGCAGAGATAAAATTGGAAACAAAAGTTGAAATGAGACAAGGGTCAAAAGGAAATGAAAGTAAGCAAAGACAGTTCAAATATGAGCATGGGAGAAACGAGCTCAGTCGAGGAATACAAGAAGAGCTGAAGAAATTAACTTCAAAGTCTTAGAAACATTACTTCTTTGAGTTTAGAGTCTCTGCATGAGTAGCACGGACTGCATCTTACCAGCGTGAAAGAATTTCCCTGAGAAGCCCAGATTGAAGGTGAAGTTGGGCACATAGGTGCGCAGCTCCCTCTGTGTCTCCAACAGGGCCTGAAGCAGTGGGAGGAAAAAGAAGAATGAGTCAACCCTGATGGGCTCACACTGCTGCACGAGTGCGTTATAATGAGGGAGCGTCAACACAGAGGCGCTGGCGTGCCCACATATATCTTTAATTTAGCAAGTTTCCCTCGGTAAACATCCAGCATCCACTCCCAGCTGCCTCGCTCCTCTCCTTCATTCTGTTTGATTTTCTGCTTCCCTCTGATTCGAGTGTTTGTTTCATTTGATCTCAGTGCTGGATGAGACTCGTGCACACACGCCGCCACCCCTCCTCATCATCAATCCCCCACCACCACCATCACCAGGGTGTGATCAGTTCCTAAAAGCTTGCCATTGCACTGAGAAGGCCTTGATGCTGCTACCAGAACTTTTTCCTTCTCCTTACACCCTCTGGCTCCACATGTGAGGGAAGCCTTTTCTGCTCTGCGGGGACGAAAGCACAGAAGTTTTTTTTTTTTTTTTTTTTAACATTCTTTGCCTCCGAGTCCCTGAAATATTCATCGCTGTAGAGTTTCTGTGACAGTGCGAGCGGTTGGGCCTGTCAGCTTTGAGCAGCCTACTGGGACGAAAGCATTGAAAAGGAAAAAGAGCAGCGAGAAGAAGCGGTTTCTGCGTGACTGGCAGAGAATAGCATCATGCTACGTGTGAGGCCTTTTCCTGTTACAGTGAAAAAGGGCTGCGGGCTAATGATCAGAACACTGGTCTGCTTTCTATTCCCGTCTTTTCTTTTTCACTCAGAATTATCCAGAGTTGTAAAGTAACTAAGTACAAATACTTTGTTACTGTACTTAAGTAGAATTTTTGGGTATCTGTACTTTACTTAAGTAATTATTTTTCAGTCTACTTTTTACTTCTACTTCTTACATTTTCACACAATTATCTGTACTTTCTACTCCTTATATTTTTTAAAAAAGACAAGAAGCATGAAGTCATTACTTTTATTTCATTTTGCTTGTTTTCATTCCAGCTTGTTATTGTAAAAAATAAATTCATATAAATTGTGCCTCCTAGATAGAGTGAATTTAGTTGTGGTTGAATGAGAAATATAAATATATAAAATTCTGATACCGTATTAGTTTGTACACAAACAAAATCATGTCACTCCAGCAGGACATAATCATTAAAACAAAAGGACTGTACTTAAGAAGTATTTGTATTTCATGAATTATATTATTACATCTGACTGCAGCCCTCAGATAGATTTTCATTTTGGGGAAAAGGTTTGTGCAGCCTTGATATATGTATATTAGGGCTGTCACAAACGATTATTTTAATAATCAATTAACCACTGATTATTTATTCGATTAGTCGACTAATCAGATCATACGTTAATTGAATATAAAACATTAAGCTTATCACGTCAGAATGCAGCTGCTATTATATAAACATCGTTAGATTTTAGCTATATGCTAACTAAAAATAATTGCTGTGGAAGGCAAGTTATGCCTTGCAGATATTACACAGGTTTCTCTTTCATTTTCTTAAAATGATCCCACACTTTTGAGCTACATTGCTGGGTAGCCATGATACCAGAGCCTGTCTGCATAACGTCTTGTGACGTCCACAGCCTACCCCAGTTACCACTACTGTGCATGTGTGTCAAGGACAGAAAGGCAGATGTGGCAGTGGAAGGTGTCAAAGCAGTTTGGAGAGAAAAACAAAGTAAAGAACAACAAAAAAAAGAAAACGATTAATCGATTATTAAACTAGTCATCGATTATTTTAATAATCGATTAGTCGTCGATTAATCAATTAATCGTGGCAGCCCTAATGTATATAAACTGAAACAGCTGGACTAGTGCATCCTAAATTTAACATAAATTAATTATTTTAATACAATATAGTCATTTCTGCATTTTTTTGGGTGGTCACCTCCTAATAAACGTTATTACAGAAAATATAACTGTTCATTTTGAATCAATACTTTTACTTTTAATATTTAAGTATAAAAAATATCAGATACTTTGACTTTTACTCAAGTAATAATCCTAAAGGAGACTTTAACTTTTACCACAGTAATTTTTTGTTAAGATACTTGTACTTTTACTCAAGTATCACTTTGTGGTACTTTATACATCGCTGGAATTATCCACCAACCCACCTTCACGTCGGGCACCTTCATGCGGGTGCCCTCTTTGCCCACAAAGATGTCGTCTATATCCACGAGGATGTAGCGCTCCAGGGACAAAGAGAGCCTCTTCCCGGTCAGGAAGGCCACGGCGTCTACAAAAACCAGCTTGTGCAGCCAGAAGTTCAAATTGTTGCCAAACAAAACCCTTTGGATTCCGTCGTGAAGTCCCAGGTCCTGCACCACCGACGGGAGCATTGCCGCATGCTGGCCCATCGATGCCACGCTCTCTGCTGATTGGGTCTTTGCCATCAACACGGGCTCGTACGTGGAGTGATTGGACTGGAACACGGTCCAGTCGTCCCCGGGCAGAGGACCTGGCAGCGACTGTCCAGATCGGGTGATGAAGAGAAGTGGAGACTTGGGGTTGACAGTGCAGTCCTTCAGACCCAAGTTGGAGTGAAGAAAGAGGGGGAAGCCTTTGAGCTGCGCGCTGAGCAGACTGTTTTCATTGGCCTGCTCCACACAAACAGACAAGGAGAGAATTGACGCAGAATTATTACACACCACAGTGATGAAAACAGAAATTTATTGCATATAATTTCCTGATTTCTCTCGTCATGTGTGAAATAAGGAGTGTCAGGCCTACTCAAACGTGAAGGCATGAGGGAGCTCCAACCTGCTATGTCCAATCTGTTATGCTGCAAGTTTGGAGTCAAATGGAAAAGAAGAAAAAAAACCTCCTGCTGTTCTGAGACTTGGGGTTCTGTCAAGATACTCTGCAACTTCACCAACAAACCCAGTCCGTCTCAGATTCTTACATTTTCCTTACAGTTCACCTCAGTCTCAGACCGTGTTCAAACAGAAATACTGCTTTTCCAAAACATTTGTTGTTTTGTTTCTAAAGACGTTAATGTAAACATGTCACACAGAAACACCGGGAAGAAAAAAAAAAACAAACCTCTGGATGCTGTTATTTTAGGACTCTTAAAACATTTCCACGTGGATAACGACTTAAATACAACTGATCACTTTAAATCAGCTAATCTGTCACATGTGATCATAGTAAACTAAGGACATTTTCAGATTTATGGCTTTTTAAGCTACAGTTTGATACCTCGATCATCCTGATATTCCAGAGACATCATCATGATATTGATGTGCCTTGCTGATTGGTCTGAAATCTATTCTTAACGTAGACTAATGAGGATTTCTTGTCAAGAGAAAACCTTAAATCATATTTGGATATTGGGGATTATGCTGAAAAATAATTAGTTGTTGGTACAGTTAATGGTTGTTTGTCTCGTTTGTCTCTATGCAGCCCTGTGATGGACTTGTGACCTGTCCAGGGTGTACCCCGCCTCTCGCACAGGGACTGCTGGATGTGGGCACCAGTGACCCCCGTGGGTGGGTAAAAGATAATGAATGGATGGATGGAACAGTTAAGAAACGTTCAGAACATTCTTTAGGATTATATTTTGGACATTTCCTTCACAGGATCTGTAGATAAAGTATTTACTGATTATTTTTTGACATTATCCAATTAATCATAAATTTTCTGCCAAAGCACTGTGGCTGCCTGTTTCCTCACTGCACTACTTGACCACATCAAAGATCTCAATTTACTGAAGTTCATCCAAGGTGATGCAGATTAGAGACTAAATCTTTCTAATTCTAAACTTCAAAAATATCTTACATTTTTAAAATACTTAATATCTATGCAGATTTTTTGGAGTCACTAAATTCTTACAATTCATTCTTACACTGGTCATATTTCCCATACAATAAGGCAAAAATATGATAATTTTATTTTAATGTTTTTTTTACTTTTATTATAGCTAAAAAAACGTAAAACAAAAAATGTTTTTCCTTATTCCTACAAAACAGGGCATAATACATTATTCATGTGTTATAAAGTCTATTACCCACACCTGAAGAAATATACATTCAATTTCTTTGAGTAAAATTCACATCCTACGTATAAAATTACCTGCAGTAAAAGAGTGATCTAACTTATGTTCATAGTTAACTACATACAAAAAAGCAGAAATTATGTTAGTTTAAAAGGGAACATGTAAAAGGATACAGAAGGTGTTCAGGTGTTTTAGTGTTACATAAAAATGTATTGGAGAAGTCCAACAAAAAAAAGGGAAAGGAGACTTCTTGTTTTACAACTGGAATGTGAGACCATGAATGTCGAGTCAATGTGCCTGTATAAAAAAAGTTAAAGACATAATTATGAGCAGCTGGAGAGGGGGGGGGGTCTAAATGAATGAAAACACGTGAATCTCATATCTATTTCATCAGAAATAGACCTGTGTGTCTCAAAGATGATCCAGTATTGCTCAAAACTATTTAAGTAATTGTAAATGAATATCTACAAAATCTTGTATGTGCTTGTAGCTCTTGGATGGACCAAAATGAGATATTAATCAAATGAATGAAATCATTTTGTGAGGARGGTCTACTAAGTTGTGATGCAAACAGTTCAGAAAACACAGCACTGTTGTGTTACCGAGACATTGGGATGCACCTCCTTGCTCTCTTTCTTTCTCCTTTAACAGGCAGTAAATCCCACCAGGCTAACCTTCATCTGCACCACCCAACATCTATACGGCACCATCCATGCCTACACGCCTCTTTCTATATTCTCTCCATGGCTCGGATAGGGTGATTAAAACCATAAGACCTGAAAACTGGCCTTAGGCAGACTGGGGCCTCCAGGGAAAATTGTGAGAGAGAAGAGGCAGAATAAGAGATATAGAGAGGGAAAAGGTGGAGAACTTTTAGAAAAAYAAAAAAAAACTAGAGAAACTAAAGAGAGAAAACCACAAATGGGAGTTCACAAACTTGGGAAGAAGAGTTTTAAGGAGGCCAGATTGCAGAACAAAAAGAAGAAACAGAGACAAAGAGAACAGAACAGAAACATAAGTCAGTGCAAAGAAACTATGTGATATTAAACCATGCAGGTCATGTCCATCTCTTTAGAGATGGTACAGCCAGATGGACAGGGCAGAAGGTGTGCGGGAGGGGAGGCAGGGAGGCATAGGGGAGGGTGGTGTGGTGTAGTTCTGACCTTGAAGAAGCCAATGATGCCCACTCCATACTCCACACAGTATTTATCCAGCAGCTCTCGGTTCCAGGCGTCCAAGTTCACGTACTTGAGAATGTTCTCATAAATCACGAGCGTGAAACGCCCTCGCTCTTTGTCCGTCAGTGTGGGCATGTCCCCTTTCCCGGGAGAGATTTCGGTCCGATACTTGAACCGGCCCGACTCCAAGATGGCCACGATCTCCTGCCCCAATTGAGAATATTGGCTTTCCACAAACACCAGAACCACAGGATCTGTCCTGGTCCCTCCGAGGTCCACTCCATTAGACCCCGGGATACTTCGTATGGGTAAGAGCCGGGACGGAACGACCCTTGGATAATCCAAGTCTTGGGGAAGTCCCTCGGACCCGGACATGCCCACTCCGGACGGCTCGGGCTCCCGCTTGACGCCATAGAGGTAGTAGGAGAAGATGAAGACGCTGACGGTGCAGAAGATGAAGAGGAGGAGCAGGGAGGTCTGCAGGGGAAGGAGGCGGACCAGCCGGCGGAGGCGTGACACACATCCCAGCATCGTCTCTCACCACACCGCTCCGCCCCACCGGCCCAGCAACACGCCAAGGGGACAGTCTCTCTCAGTGTGTGTGTGTGTGTTTAAAAACAAAAACTACAAAAATAAAACAAAACAAAAACACGAGCAGGAATCGCTCACCAAAAACTCGCTGCTCTCGTTAAGCTAAACAGCATTAACGTAGCAGCAGCAGCGGCGGCCACCGAAGAAACAAATGAGACGATGATGTTGGCGCTCCCTCATGTTGCAGCGCCGCTTATGTCACCATGGCAAAAAAAAAAAAAGGGGGGCCTTGCATTGACGGTACACACTCGTGCCTGAAGAGCGAAGGCTGGCAGGGCTAGTCACTGGGGAAGAAAGATGATGGACGACTCCATCGCCTGCCCATCACGTAAACCTGTCAACCGGATCCGGGCTGGAACTTGTCCCACTTGTCTGACTGGAGAACAATCCCTTGAGGAAACGCAGGTCATCACAGCGGCATCGCTCCTTCYGGATCAAATCTGGCAAAAGAGAAAGAGGAAGTGATTTTAAAATGCAGCGACACAACATCAGCTCCTATACAACAAACAGCATGTTGCATTTGTTGTGTGGGTTTACTGATACGTAGGAGACAAAAAGTTCACTTTATAAGGAGCATTGCATTCACCTACTCAAAGTAAGCGCTGCAACTTTCCCCCCACACACACCTAACCTTTGTGCTGACAAACTTTAACAATTTTTTWAAATTCTTTGCTTACGCTACCTCCATACAATCAATAGCTGGAATATGAATGACAACAAAAAGGCTAATTCCAACTTCAGTCCAGTGTGACTGCACATGAAGCCATCACCTGTGGGTACCCTTCAATTTCTCTAAAACCTTCACAGCTCCYGGCCTAAAACTCGAGCCGACTGAACAGTGGCAATCTGAGAGGAGAAGTGTGGAAAACACTGACAGACGGACCTGACAACAATGAAACTCTCTTTGAGAAAAATCTGGCGGCGCACTCGATATGCATTTCCATAGTCACCTCAGACCTAAAATCATATCTCTGCCTTTTAGTCCATCTCCACCAAGCCAAGTGTGAAAGCACCAGGATGCAGCATGAGAATAGTGCAACATAGGCACTTACTAAAACAGTTTTTCTCCATTTGGTGAGAGAAATCGCATCATTACCTTTGCATAGAAATCCTCCAATCCAATAAGCTGGAGAGTTATTGTGGTCTTAGGTTGCTCTTTGTAAAACCCAGCATACTACATTAGAGACCTATTCTTCTCAACTCAAAAGGAATTAAACACTGACCACCAAACTCATCGGCACTAACACCAGTGGTCATAAAATAGATGTAATAACACAACTAAATGGTTTCAGTTATATTGTAAAAATAAACAAACAAGGTTTTGATAAACGTGAGCAAAATTAAAATCACAAAAATGACCAGAGCACATTCAGCTTAACAGAATTCCTCAAAGATAATCCTTCGATGATCAAGTGATGACTCATGTAGACACACGGTGCAACATGGGCACAAAAAAACACYCACATACAGTTTCTCTCTAATGCAATCAGAACCATAATCCCGGCATTTCTTCTTTCCTTTCACTCCTTCACCCTTCCAGCTAAGATTATAAGAATGCCTTGAATCGCACCGAACTGTGAGCGTAGTGGCAGAAATCACACGTCGTCTTCTCTGAGTCGTGTCCAACTTTTCCTCCTTGCAGGGATGCAGAGGCTAATGTGAAGTGAGGCCGTGGAAAAAAAAAAGAGAGAAAAAAAAAAAGGCAGTGGGTGTTCAGAGAATGTATCGCAGCGGAGCAGACAAAAACCAACAGCCCCGGTCGCTTCAAGATCTCGCCCCAGGTCCCTTGTTTGTTCATTTCTGAGGGAGACGGGGTTCGTGCCATGGCATATCAAAGTATGATTAGCCACAGGAAGTGACTCCTGCTGGAAACACTGAGGCAGAAGGCAAGACAAGACTGACAACTTTAAACACAACACAGTAGTTCTTCTTGGACTATTTTTTTCTCTTTAAAAATACTTATGAAATTACTTAAATAAAACTGTGTGTAGCTGCATGAATGGTAATTACATTTTATGAATAACTTAAAAAAAATCATGTCACAACAATAATCCTCAGTTAAAAACAAAAACATCACATCATTCAAGAACAACAAATTATATGTTTATACATTATACAATTTCATATTTTTTCAACAATCCAACCTTTATCGTTCTCTTGAACATGTACTTTGATTTGGCACACACAAAATAAGAACATTAAAAATATAACACTGATCTTAGCCAAACAGTATATTCACAGATTAATTCAATCCCTTGTTTTGGATTTGCTTTATTGAGTTTTTATAATTAAAAAAATTAAATTACTTTTTGCATCAGTAGCAATCTGACCCTGAGAAGTAAAGCTTTTATTTTGACTTGTCTGATAACACCTGCTGAGTGTTATCAGACAACACTGAGTAACTTTAACTCTAACTTTAGAGTTGATGGTGTGGAGATTAGTAGAGTCAGTGAGGTGAAGTTTCTGGGTGTTATTATTGATGAGAAACTGACGTGGAGACCTCATGTTAATTACTTAAGAATAAAACTAGCTAAATCTATTGCATTGCTTTACAAAGTAAGGGACTTGTTTAATGATAAAGCTCTGTATGTTATATAACACATAAATTGTTCCACACTTGGTTTATTGTGTTGAGGTTTGAAGGAAAGCATGTAGACAATTACACATCCTGTTTTTGTTTTGCAGAAAAGAGCTATAAGAGTTACCACTCGAAAACATTACTATTTTCCATCTAATATATTATTCTGTAAACTGAAATTATTGAAATTTTATAATTTGGTTGATTACAATATTTTGTTAGTTATGTATAGGATCACCTTAACACCTTACCTATAAACATCCAGAAAAACTTTGCAAAGAGAGTGAGCTGTTATAATCTTAAGGGGACAGAGTTGTTGAAACCTACATTTAGAACATGTTTGAAAGAACGGTGCACCTCAGTTCAAGGAGTTAGACTGTGAAATGTTCTGGAAAATGATGTGAAAAGTGCCAAATCAAAGTACATGTTCAAGAGAATGATAAAGGTTGGATTGTTGAAAAAATATGAAATTGTATAATATGTAAACATATAATTGTTCTTGAATGATTTCATGTTCTTGTTTTGTTTTGTTAACTGAATATTGTTGTTTGATTTCATACTTGAGGAAAAAGGGGGCAGATATAAGATTTTGTTCTTCTCTCTGCTTCCCTTCATTTCGTTGTTTGTAATTTTATTGTGTATAAAATTTTGTTTTTTAATGAAATTAATAAAAATTTATGTATGTATGTATGTAACTTCATGAAACAATATATAGAAAATTAGACCTCTTTTCTCCTTTTGTTCTTTTCCTTTTCTTGGTTCTGTTTTATCATCAAACAAGTTGTTATCTCAGACATTTTGTACTATTTTCTACACTGTGATATATAAATGACAGACGTAGTCCTATAATATCAAAGTTCGAAAATAAGCTCAGACACTGCATCTTCCATGGTCTACCTTTAGACTTATTGTTCTGCTGATGCTTAGCTGAAATTTATCTCATGCTGTTAAAAAAACACCCTACATTTGATATACACATTAATCAATATTAGTCTTGTTATGTGACAGTTTACGGGAAACAGAAGCCTGATCAAACTACCAGACAAATTTAGTTGTTTGCAACCAAATTGGGATCAGTGTGGATGTCAGCAAATTCATTCCAGGAAGCACTGAAACGCACACACATCTTATTTTACTGCTGCAGTAATAGAAAAGTGACACTGTTAATCAATTGCCTTTTTGCAAAATTAATTGCAAACTGCAATGGCAGGAGTATTACTTAATCATCCAAGCCTCAAAAAAACAGAAGAGTCTCTATTTTTTTAAGAAAAACAAATTCCAGTATTTTTATTTTCACATTTTAACATGTAATCATACTTTGAGACATGCCGTCTTCCACTGGGACCCAATAAGCTCTACTCTACTGTGGCTCCAACAACCCTGCCAACATGACCTGGAAGCAGGCTCGACGGTGGCAAAACACACACTGAGTCGAGGCTCGCTTCTTTGCCAATTCACAGTAGAGACAACCGCCTCCCGATGTTGACCTTCAGAACGTGAAGCACAGAGCTACAGCTGAAGGAGAGGAGGGTGAGGGGTGGGAGAGATGGAGACTGATGGCTCCAGAGCTGCCGGGGTAAATTAAAGGAAACCTCAAGACCTCGAGTGTGAAGCCATGACATCAGGCAGGCTTTAACAGAAAGTATAATACATTAGAACACAGTGAGGGTATTAGATTGAACGAACAGAATAATAGCTAATAACTAATGAGTGTAAACAGTCTGCAGCTCTATCTCACCTAATAGGTCTTCCACTTTCTGTCCTACATATATATCTTAGAAGAAGTGAATGTGCYCGCTCCTTTCTGCAAAATAATTGATTCAAAAATGCAGAGGGGGGAGAAAAGAGAACATGAATATTTTATGTTTTTGCTGAAGCCAATGAGAGGTATAGCCAGCAGACATATTGGTAAGGCCGAGTCAAAACGGTTTCAAGACAACGGAGCATTTCAGCCTGCCAAAGAGACTCAGAGTCTTAACTCATGCATAAAGAAGGAGCAGATAGAGACAAACACGTGTGTGCTAGCCAACCTTTTCATTCTCAGCGATGGAAGGAGCTCTGGCTGAATATGAGCTACGTAATTGCACATGTGAACTAGAAATCTCCCTAAATAGAAGTGGCAGGCAGACCAGTGAGAGCGGAAAAATGAACCACAAAATGAAAAGGACCGAAAAGAAAGAAGGACAACAAGAAAGGTTAGACAATGAGAAATACTGAGAAAAAAAAAAGAAAAATCTAATTTGTGTGGGAAATCAGGAATAAAATGACCGCTAAMGGTGGCTATCAATCTGAAAGGTTGGAAACCAGAATTAAAATATTCTCATTATTTTATAACAGCTGAGAGAATGAATCGGGGGCATAAACAATAGCAGGTGATGGACGAGAGGACACGCTAATGCTTTTTCCTCGGGGTGGGTGGTCACTCAAAACCTGCTCGCTCAACAGCATGGGAAGCGGGCCAGAACCGTACTGCTAGATTAATGAGAGATGAAGAGGAGCAGGGGGACCGAGGCCGGTCCTCAGCTGTAACAACTCTCGGGATAAACAACGCTGCGGTTGGCCATATGTAGCCTCCACACATCCTGCTCCCCACTTCACCTCCCTCCCTCCCTCCCTCTCCTGCACTGCTGCTGCACTTTGTTTAAAGTGTGAATAAGACTAAGTGGCCCTGGGATTTGTGAGGAGAGTCAGTACATTAACACCATCAGCCGGAGTCAGACTACCCGCAGGTGATCCCTTGGACAAATAAACTTTTAAAGGATAGCTGGACCCTTGCAGCCCCTCAGGACCCAAACAGTGCCTGCCTCCCCCCCTCCTCCTCTAGCCTCTCCTCTCTCCAATCTGTCCCCTCGCTGCTGACTG